CTCCCCCCCCGGGGCCGGGGGGCCGCGGGGATGCAGGTGTCCCGCACCTCCCGAGAGGCCGCGCTGCCTCGCCACGGGCCTGGCGGCGTGCCGCCCTTGGGGGGCGGCGGGTGAGCTGGAGCAGAGCCCGTTTTCCCCTTGGAAAAACGCCTGGGAGTGCTGGGTGTTGCGTGGGCTCGGGCTTTGGGGCCTACCCGGGAAGGGCGCTGGGAGGGAGAGGTTGGATGCAGCCCTGCGCTCCCCGTGCCCACTGGTACAGGGGTGCTGGCACCCCAAATATCCGGGCTGCACAGCAAATGTCACCAGGGAGCTGGTTCCCTTCTCCCATTGCCTCCCTGACTTGGGACAGAGGCACCCCGTGAATGGGGACTCTGCCACAGACTCCCCCCCGGAGGGGCTTGGGGGGGAGCAGGGGAAAAGGGGAGCACAGCTCGGGACAGAATTGAAAGCAGCTCGTGGGGAACAAGTCAGAGGAGAGGAGTGCCCTGGGCCAGCAGCGAGGATCCCTGTCCACAGCGCTCAGTGGAGTGGGGAGGAGGCCGTGACATTGCAGAGGCCAAATGTGGCATTTGTGCACCCTCTTCTTCCCTTGTCCGGGTGCAGCCCGAGCCTGGGGGGCAGGACTGCAGACTGTGCCACCCACCACCTCTGAACAAAACCCCTGCAGGGAGAGGCAGAGCCTCTCTAGGAAAGTCTAGCTGGCTCTGTCCTGGCCATTGCATGGGCACGAGAAGAGCCTGTCCCTTGCAGATGTCCCTGCTGGCCCCCCGTGGGGGTGGATGCCTGCCCCTGGGATGCTGAGGAGGCAGGGCCAGCCCCAGCCCGGGAGGGAGTTTGGGTAATTGGGGTGATGCAGTTGGCTGGGATAGTGGTGTGGCAGCAGAAAAGTCTCGAGCTGCACGTGCTTTGAAATGGCTGAGCTGGGTGCTGGGAGGGTCCGAGCCCTGCTGTGCCTGGAGATGGGTGCTAAGGGGAATTACCTCTCTTGGGGACCTGTGCGGTGGCTGGTGCTCCTTGGGAGGAGAGAACAGCCTGTCCGCAGTCCTGGGCAGTCCCTTACTCTTGCCTCTTGTGCTGCCTGGCTACGTCGGAGGAGCCACTGACATTGCCTTTTCTCCCCAGTGACCCTTAGGGACGGACGTGCGTCATGGTGGACTACTACGAAGCGCTGGGTGTGAGCCGGAACGCCACTGCCGATGACATCAAGAAGGCGTAAGTCCGTGCGAGGCGGGTGCTTGCATCCCAGCTCAGCCCCTCCGGAGCCTGCCGGCTGCTCCTGCAGGGGAAGAGCTGCCTGAACCCTGGTGGTGCCAGCAACCGGGAGACTCAGGCTGCCTTCTGGGCTCTGCTGCTGGGCATTGTGGAGAGGGCCCTGCTCCGGAGATGACAATCTGCCCTTTGTTTCTGTCTGTTTTAGCAGTCTCATGCTGTGTGTTTGCAGAGGCCAGCGTGGGGCTGGGCCTCTCTGCACTGCTGTTGTCCCACAAAGGCCTCTCTCAGGCTCTTGGTCCCTGGTCTGTGCTCAGCCTAGGGCTTGGCATGGGTGCGGGAGCTGGGGGATTGAGCAGAGATCCAGCAGCGGCTTGGGCACAGGGAGCGCTGGCTCTCCTGGTCCTGCTGGCATTGGAAAGAGCCTCTCTCCCTCCTCAGGATGTGGGGATGGCAGAGGGAGGCTGGGTGCCTGGGGGGCTCTGCTGCCCAGAGGGGAGCAGCTTGGGCACGTGAGATGAGCGTGTTCCCTCACCACGACGTTGTTCCCCAGAGCAGGCATCGGCCGGTGTCCTGTGCTGTGCCTCAGGTGGCCCCAGTTACCTGCAGGGTGGATGAAGACTTGGTGCCCTCGGAGGGGCGAGGGGTCCCGGGTGCAGAGGGGACAGGCACATCTTGGAAGGGGGCTGTCTCTGCCCGTGCAGCTCAGCCCTGCAGTGAGCCCTGGTGACACAAGTGTGATGGTGGCTGCGGGAGGGGTCCCTGCAGGAGCTGGTTGGTCAGATCCTGCTCTGGTTCTGGAGCTCCTCGGCACAGGGAGCTGCCTTGACCCTGGCACACAGCTGGGTTTGCGCCCTGCTGGCAGCAGCAGGGCAGGTGGGAGGCTGGCTGGAGGAAGAGGACTGTGTGCAGAGCAGCAAAGTTTTGTACAGTGTCTCAGCAAACAGCCTTCTTCCATGGTGGATAGGTGCCAACTGGTGGCTTGTGCCTAGGGCAGATGGGTTCAGAGCAGGGGGCAGAGAGGTTCCTGCTGGAGAGGGGATATTCCTGACGAACTCAGTGCATGAGAGAAGCTGGGCAGCCTCAGTTATCCCCAGCCAGCTGCAAAGGGGAAAAGGCTGTCTTGTGCTCACCTGGCCCCAGGATACCTGTACTGTGGGGGCCAGACAGGGGGGACAAGAGACCCCCTGGTCCATGCACACACACATGCAGCAGACCCAGCAAGGCTCCAGAGCAAACCTATGAGAAGCAGAGACCTGCTTCTTTGTGGGAGCTGAGATGGGCACAGCCTGCAACGTGGGATCATGCCACAAATATTTGCTCTGGAGGCAGAACCAGTTTAGGAAGTTCTTGTCTTGCCAACAGCTGTTCTGTGACCCAGATCCCTGACCTGGCTAAAACAGACAGAGAGACAAAAGTCAGCTTGAAACTGTGTATGACAGCGCCCTGGGGAGCCACAGACCTCACAGGCCCTGGGCCTGACCCGGGCAAAGTGTGACATGTGGCTTGTCCAGCCACAGGCAAGATACTTACTGGGTGTCCAGGACCCCATGGCAAGTGGAGTCGGCATGGCTCTGGGGACTCTCATTAGCCATGCCCGGGTTGCTGGGCCATTTGACCTGGCTGAGCAGGGAAGAAGTGGGAGCTGAGTGGGCAGGGGTGAGCTGGGTGGCTGTGAGACCACAGGCGGTGAGCTGTGGCGCTGAGCCGTGGTGCAGCAGGCATCGATCTGATGCTCCTGCCCAGGCAGTGGAAGGAAGCGGGATGACAGGGTGATACGAGCAGACCTGGGGGGGGATTAGCTGGAGGCCTGGCCCAGCTCAGTGATCTGGAAGCAAACGCAAAGTGTCTGCAGAACAAACTCGTGGCTGCCACGAGGCTCAATGAGTGATGAGCGGGGTGGGCAGGCACGTGGGGCATCTGCGCTGCACAGCAAGCTGGGCTCGCTCCAGTGAAGTGCATTGCAGTGCAGTCGGATGCAAGGAAGTGTAACTGCGGGAACAGGAAACGCAGCCGGTGCTGCGTGCAGAAACCTGCACACATGAGAGGAGGCCCTGCAGGAAGGTTTGGGGTCGGCGTAGGCGAGACCCTGCTGTGGTTCTGTAGGGAAGTCAAGGTCAGTGAGTCTGTCTCTTTGTATATGCACCGTTACTGGGATGACGCCTGGGATGCTTTGGACAGCTCTGGGGCCGTGCTTTTAAGAGAGAGGTGGTAAGTCAGAAAGAAATAGCAGAAATGACCTGCTGGCTGGGGAGATGCTGGAGAAGTCAGAAGTGGAGGGCCCTCTGTCCATTTGCCAGCTGAGGCTGCCGGGCTGTCTGCGAGGTGCTGCTGTGCTTGCATAGGTCAGCGCCACGGCTTGGGGGGTCAGCGTAGACCGCCGTGATGGGTGAGATGGGCTCAGAGGTGCCCCTGCCTGTCAGAGCCAGAGGTGAGCCCCTGGCAGGCGCTGTGTGTGCTCAGTGGGGAGCGCTGGCTGCCCTGGCAGCTCTTCGCCTCCTGAGGGCTGCTGCGTCCCCGTCGCTGACTGTCTGTCTGTCCGGGCTGTGCAGGTACAGGAAGGCTGCGCTGAAATGGCACCCAGATAAAAACCCTGACAACAAGGAATATGCTGAGCAGAAGTTCAAGGAAATCGCCGAGGCCTATGAAGTGCTGTCGGACAGTAAGAGGCTGCGGTGCTGTCCTGTCTCGCGTGTCCCCATCCCCTCCTGACACCCGGGGGTGTCCTGCTTCTGTGCTCATCTGGGTGGTGTCCCTGGACCGTGCGAAAGCCAGGTGCCTGGGAGGTAGCAGATGTCTCCAGCTGTGCTGCCCAGCATGCAGGGCTTGGTTACCTCCCCATGGGTCATCCAAGAAGGCTCTTGTGAGTGAGAGATGCTGCGAGGCTGCATGGCCTCCCAAGGCGATGTCTTCCCGCTGGGGCGAGCTCAGCCTTGCCCGATGCCCTGACTGCCGGAGCTGGGGCTTTGGAAATGGTGCAGGAGCAGATGGTGCTTGTGCCACCCTCCTCCTCTCGCTCCGCGCTGTTCTCTGCTTCTCCTTGCTGGGGGAAACGTCGCTGCTTCCTGCCCGTGCCTCCAGTTTAGGTACCATGCGTGGTACCTGGCTTTCCCACAGCGTCCGTCTCCTCTTCTTGCAGAGCAAAAGCGTGATGTCTACGACTGTTATGGCAAAGATGGCCTCATGGGTGCAGGTGAGAGGGCGAGATGGGGGCCACAGGGAAATTAATGTGTCTCTGGATAGAGCACTGTGTGACCAAGGCCCTGGTGTGGGTCTGTGTCCCTCGGGCGTGCAGAGGCCCTGCCCCTGCAGCGGCTCCTTCGGGGGTTCCCACCCAGGGCACTACTTAACTCTGCACTTCTTCCCTCCGCCAGGGCCAGGGGGCTCCAGGGCTGGTGCAGGAGCCCCCGAATTCACCTTCACCTTCCGCAGCGCTCACGACGTTTTCCGGGAGTTCTTCGGTGGGCGAGACCCCTTCGCTGACTTCTTCGGTGCGTGCGGAGCAGGAGGGGGCCGGTTCTAGGGCAGCCAAAGAGCTCGGGGATGGGGTGTGCTGTCAGCGAGGCCTGCTCTGATTTGGGAGCCAGCCCTGCAGCGAGCTACCTCCAGCAGTGCCCTGCTCTGGGCTCACCAGCCAGTGGGCACAGGCTGGGACCGTGGGCTGCGGTGCCTCTTGGGGGCCATCGGGACGGTGCTGACGCTGTCTTCCCTGCCTTCCAGATGAGATGTTGCCCTTTTCTGACCTGCGAGGACCTGGTCCCCGGCACCACGGACCAGGCCAATTCTTTTCTCCCTTCCCAGGATCCTCAGGTAGGAAACGTTGCCAGCCCGGCCCTGTGCAGGAGTCTCAGACTGCTGCCTCCCCCTACCCAGGGCTGCCAGGCAGTCCCAGCCTTGCGTGCCCTGGCCTGACCTGCCTCGCCCAGGTCCCTTGTGCTGTTCAGACCTGGTAATGCCCGTGCGTGGTCTGTCCCCTGCCTTCCTCTCACCCCTTGTGCCCTGCTCACCCCTGGGCCTGGAGGGCTGCTCGATCTGAGCACTGACCTTATTGCCCCGTTCTCCAGATTTCTTCGCCTCGTCCTTTGGCTCTGGAGCTGATGCAGGGCTGGGCTTCCGCTCCGTCTCCACCTCCACCACCTTCGTCAACGGCAAGCGCATCACCACCAAGAGGTGAGGGGCAGCGCGGCGCCGCGGCCGAAACAGGCAGGGCTCAGCACCCGCCGGCGCGGGCGGG